GCCGCCCTGCCACGGTAGAGCCGCTCGTGTGTCCCCCGGCCCTCGGCAGCGATCAGCTCGGGGGCCGTTTCACGCCCGCCAGCCGAGGTAACGCGGGACGATGGCTCCCGCCTCTCGTTCTGGGGTTGTAAAGGTCACTTTGGCTTCAAGTCTCTTAAAACGCTGGTGGTCACCAACGGCGGGGAGCAGTACCTGTGAGTTTTACACCTTGGTGCAGCGGTGTTTTTCCTGAGCCAGGGCACGAGATGAGCGCGGGGCTGTTGGGCGGCGCGGCCGAGGCAGCGCAGCCCCTCTCCGAGCAGAGAGGCAGCGCCCCGTGCTCCCCTTCCCCAGCTGGAAAGCGCAGTCAGCTCATGCTGATTTCACGCTGGCCTTTAAAGCGAGGGGGACCAAGAGGTTTTTCTGTGAACCCTCCTGATCAAGCGCCGCTAAGGATTAGGCAGTCCAAGGAGTGTGGGCTTATAGCCTACAGAAAGACTTCTAAAGGTGGGAATATATGCAATAAACTACTCTCCAGGCTTCTGCACGGATTTTAAACTGTTTTGATTAATGCTAACTCACAGGATGTCCGAGAAGGCAGTAACAAATGAGGCATAGCACATGCCTCCTCTTCCTTTGCGTTAATATGAGCACATGCTTCATGGGAATTACTGTGATTGGTTTGATTTTGTTATTTAGAAAAATTAGCACGACTCCCAAAAGTTAAGGGTGTTACAAATGACGGACAGAGAAATCAGTGCTCTGTAACCAGAAATTACTGCGAGTGTGTGCAAGGCATGTGGTTGTTTTACACTATGGGTGATGTGCTTTCACTTGTTCTTAGTCCTATGCTGCTCTGTTTACCAGGTCTCCCAAGGGATCATCCAGAAAGTTATCATTCCTTCATGTGGAATAACTTCTTCAAACATATTGACATCTTGGCAGAAAACACTCACATTTTGGATGGAAATGCAGCAGACTTGCAGGCTGAATGTGATGCGTTTGAGGATAAAATCAAAGCAGCTGGAGGAATTGAACTCTTTGTTGGAGGTGAAAACCTGAAGGACTGGCAGGTTCTAAACGCTTGCAGGAAGCATTGCCTTTCGTCTACCAGCTATCTGGTTTAATTTTCTGGAGAGTTCACTTTAAATGCAGTTCAGTGGGTCTGCAGTGAAAGCCACCCCTACACCATCTGCCTGTGATGCTCATGAGTGCTGGCAGCCTTATCCTCCAATATACCACTCCCCCAATTTAAGTATTTCAATCCAGTAAGTGAATTATTTGGAAAATGATAAGCAGGAGAAATAGGCAGGGCCAGAACTGTACCAAATACAAAATGTATTACAATAGCCAGTGTTATCAGGGAACTGCTAGAAGTAGTAGTAGTAGCAGCCCTCTGAGCCAACAGGAGCGCAACACAGTCTTTTCCCGTCAGCTTACCTTTAGATTCTGCCGTCTACTTTCCTTTATTATTGTCTCAGAAAAATTAAGGAAGTCTCCAT